CTTTTCAGACCAGTAAGTCTAATCTTCTTTTGTGAGTTAGAATTTTGCTTTACATTTTTCTGTAGCTCTTTCCGAGATCGTGTATTGTGATCCCTGTCAGAGCAGTCAGTGGTGGTAGCTGGGCACCATCTAGCTGTGCTGGACTCAGTCTGATGGAGGCTGTGGTAGTTGTGGTCCATTAGTCCTTTGGACCAATATTTCCCTTGTGTCTTTGGTTTTCTTCATTCTCCTTTGCTCCAGATGGGGTGGGACCAGTGAAGTATCTTAGATGGCCACTCACAAGCTTTTAAGAACCCAGATACTCCTCACCAAAGTAGGATGTAGAACATTTTCTTTATAAACTATGTTTTGCCAATTGAGCTAGATGTCCCCCGAGACCATGGTCCCTAGCCCTCAGCCCAGTAGTTTGGTCCCTCAGGAAGTTTAGATGTGTTTATGGAAGCTTCCATGACTTTTCCTTGGTCAAGTTGTACTGACTTCCCCAGTATTGTGTACTGTCTTACTCTTCACCAAAGTTACCACTTATCTAGTTCGTGCTTTTCCCTCCTCACCCTTCCCCTCGTAACCGTCAAAGATTGTTTCTTTCTGTGTGTAAACCTTTTCGTGAGTTTTTATAATAGTAGTCTCATACAGTATTTGTCCTTTTGTGATTGACTTGTTTCACTCAGCTTAATGCCCTTCAGATTTATCCATGTTGTGTGATGTTGCGCAGATTCATCATTGTTCTTTATTGTTGTATAGTATTCCATTGTGCGTATGTACCATAGTTTGTTTCTCCATTCATATGTCGATGGACACTTAGGTTGTTTCCATCTTTTTTGCTATTGTGAATAATGCTGCAGTGAACATGGATGTGCATATGTCTGTTTGTGTGACAACTCTTATTTCTCTAGGGTGCATTCCTAGGAGTGGGATAGCTGGATTGTATGGTATTTCTTTTTCTAGCTTTTTAAGGAAGCTCTGTGTCATTTTCCAAAATGGTTGTACCATTTTACTATCCTACCAGCAGTGCATAAGAGTTCCAGTCTCCCCATAGCCTCTGTGATATTTGTTATTTTCTGTTTTTGTGATTTGTGCCAGTAATATCGGGGTGAGATGGTATCTCATTATAGTTTTGATTTGCATTTCTCTAATGGCTAGTGATCGCGAGCATTTCCTCATGTGTGTGTTAGCCGCCTGACTGTCTTCTTTGGTGAAGTGTCTGTTCATTTCCTTTGCCCGTTTTGTCTTTTTATTGTAGAGCTGTTGGATTTTCCTATAGATTTTAGAGATTAGACCTTTGTTGGATTTGTCATAACCAAAAATTTTTTCCCGGTCTGTAGGTTCTCTTTTTATTCTTTTGGTGAAGTCTTTTGATGAGCAGAAGTGTTTCATTTTTAGAAGATCCCAGTTATCTAGCTTAACTTCTGGTTTTAGTGTACTGTTAGGATTTGTATCCTATTTATGCCGTATATTAGGGCCTCTAGCATTGACCTTATTTTTTCTTTTATGACCTTTATAGTTTGTGGTTTTACATTTAGATCTTTGATCCATTTTGAATGCTTTTGTGTATGGTGTGAGGTATGGGTCCTGTTTAGTATTTTTTAAAGATGGACATCCAGTTTGCTAGCACCATTTGTTAAAAACACTGTCTTTTCCCCATTTAATGGACTTCGGGCCTTTGTTGAAGATCAGGTAACCATAGGTGGATAGATTTACATCTGGGTTCTCGATTCTGTTCCATTGGTCAATGTGTCTGTCATTGCCTTAGTCATCTAGTGCTTAGTCACCTAGTGAATGTCTTTAACAAAGAGAAATTTATTCTCTCACCATCTAGTAGGCTACAAGTCCAAATTCAGGGCATCAGCTCCAGGGGAACACTTTCTCTGTGGCTCTGAAGGAAGGTCCATGTCATCAATCTTCCCTTGGTCTGGGAGCATCTCAGCACAGGAACCATAGGTCCACAGGATGCACTCTGCTCCTGGCGCTGCTTTCTTGGTGGTATGAGGTCCCCAGTCTCTCTGCTCGCTTCTCTCTTTTATATCTCAAAAGAGATTGGCTTAAGACACTATCTAATCTTGTAGACCTCATCAATATAACTGCCACTAATCCATCTTACTACATCATAGTGATAGAGTTTACAACCCATAAGGAAATCACATCAGATTACAAAATGGTAGACAGTCATACAATACTGGGAACTATGACCCAGCCAAGTTGACAGATATTTTGGGGGGACACAGTTCAATCCATGATAGTCATTGTTTCCGTACCAGGCTGTTTTGACTACTGTAGCTGTATAATAGGTTCTGAGATTAAATAGTGCTACTATCTACTTCTTTCTTCTTCTTCAGTAGTGGTTTACTTGTCCAGGACCTCTTTCCTTTGCATATAAAGTTAATGATTATTTTTTCAATCTCGTTAAAGAATGCTGTTGGTATTTGGATTGGGATTGCTTTGTATTGGTAGATTGCTTTGGGTAGAATTGAGGTTTTCACAATGTTGAGTCTGCCTATTCCTGAGCATGGTGTATTTTTCCGTTTATATAGATCTCTTTTTGTTTCTTGCAGTAGTGGTTTTTTTTTTTTACAGTTTTTTTTTGGTTGTACTTTAGGTGAAGGTTTACAGAACAAATAGTTTCTCATTTAACAGTCAGTACACATATTGTTTTATGACATTGGTTAACAACCCCATAACATGTCAACACTGTCTCTTCTTGACCTTGAAGGATCTTTTTTTTTTTTTTTGGTGAAAATATATGTAGCCAAAGATACACCATTTCAAAAATTTCTACGTGTACAATTCAGTGACATCAGTTATGTTCTTCCAGTTGTGCTGCTATTCTCACTTTAGATAAAGGTTTACAGAACAGAATAGTTTATCATTAAACAGGACACATATTGCCCTATGACAGTGGTTAACAACCGCACTACATATCAACACTGTCCTTACTCAGCCTTGGGTTCCCTATCACCAGCTTTCCTGTCCCCTTCTGTCTTCTAGTCCTTGTCCCTGGACTACTGTGCCTCATTAGTCCCGTTTTGTTTTATGGGGCTGTCTTTTGCAGTAGTGTTTTGTAGATTTCTTCATATAGGTCTTTTATGTCACTGGTTAAATTTATTCCTAAGTATTATTATTATTTTTTTTTTTAGTGGCTTTCATGATTTCCTTTTTGTAGTTCTCTTTATTGGTATGTAGAAATCCCACTGATTTTTGTATGCTTATTTTGTATCCTGTTACTCTGCTGAATCTGTTAGCTCCAGTAGTGTTCTTGTGGAGTTTTTTGGGTTTTCTATGTATAGTTTCATATCTTCCGTAAATAGGGACAGTTTTACTTCTTCCTTACCAATTTGGATGCCCTTTGTTTCTTTTTCTTGCCTGATTGCTCTACCTAGGACTTCTAGCACAATGTTAAATGTGATTGGTGATAAAGGGCATCCTTGTTCCTGTTCTCAAGGAGAATGTTTTCAGACTCTCCATTAAGAACAGTGTTGGCTGTTGATTTGTATAGATGCCCTTTATTATGTTGAGGAATTTTCCTTCTATACCTATTTTATTGAGAGTTTTATCAGGAATGGGTGTTGGACTTCTTCCAATGCTTTTTCTGCCTCAACTGAGATGATCATGTGATTCTTTGTGTGTGTGTGTGGTGGATTATGTTGATTGATTTTCTAATGCTGAACCATCCTTGCATACCTGATATGAATCCCACTTGATGGGGTGTTTATTTTTTAATATGGTGCTGAATTCTGTTGGCTAGAATTTTGAGAATTTTTGCGTCTATATTCATGAGATATTGGTCTGCAATTTTCTTTGCATCTCCATTTTTTCATCTGTTAAATGGGGTGATAAAAGCATCTAGCTAAGTGCTGTGATGAAGCTTTTGTATATCAAGGGATGTGAAGTGTTAACGTGAGTGGTGTTGTTACGTGCCTGGGAGTTGATTTTCAATTCATAGTGACCCCAATATATGACAAGTAGAACTGCCCAATAAAGTTTTCTAGGCTGTAATCTTTATGGAAGCAGATTTCCAGGTCTTTCTCCCATGGAGCCGCTTGGGGGAGGGGTTAGAACTGCCAGCCTTTTGATTAGCAGCCAAGTGTTTAACCATTGCGCCAGCAGAAATCCTTAATGTGTGAGTAATAAGTGTAAAGGATGCGTTAACTATTCTTCTTATTACAGTTATTTTTGTTACTATTTATGTGACATTCTGTGTTGTTAAAACATTTTTTAATTTACTTTGGTCATATTTTTTGTGTTTTCCCTCTTGCCCACCATGATCTTCCTTTACCATCAGTTTCTACAGGGAGTTTGCCACCTGACTGGCTAGTCCTAGAGTCATCGTCATCTAGCTTGCCCTGGAATATTTTACGCTTGGCCACCTGTTCAAAGCTATGCTTTATGATTTGAGTTAACGTGTGTAACTTTTTTTTTTTTTCTTTTTGGTGTAACACCTTTTAAAGTGTACAGTTCAGTGTGTAAATGTTTTCACTGATAATTAAGAATTGAGTACTCTTCTGTTTTTGAGGAAACTGAATTTTAAAGTAACCTGACTCTACTGTTAGATTAACGTAGGTCTAGATCACTGTGTAGCCTCCTAGATTTCATCTCGCTAGACCAGGACATAAACTGCACCCCCTCCTCACTTACTTATATGGTTTGGTTCTAAAGACCAGGTCATTATGCTAAATCGGTGTTATGCGAAAATGGAGGATGACCACATCAGATCACAAAATGGAAGATGACTGCATCATTACATAACTGCCCAACCACTGAGAATCATGGCCCAGCCAAGTTGACACATAACCTTAACCATCAAAGCCAGCATTACTCTCGCCTTGCGCTTCGGCGTTCATTACAACGTATGTCGTTAATGCGCAAAACAGTCGGATAGTAGATTTTTAACTAGTGTCATATATGTGAAATGTCGGATAATGAGATAGTTGATAAGTGAGGAGAAAGTAGATATGCCTTTTTACTGCTAATGATTTGGCCTGAAATTCTTTACTTTAAATTCATAGGCACAAGTTCTTCATCCAAGCGGAGCACTTCTACAGGTAATAAAGAATCCAGTTCTACCAGAGAGAGATTGCGTGAACGCACTCGACTAAACCAGAACAAAAAACTACCTTCTGCAAGTCAGGGTGCTAATGATGTGGTGCTGGCCAAGCGTCCCCGCAGTCGCACTGCTGCGGAGTGTGATATTCGTATGAGTAAGTCTAAATCGGACAATCAGATCAGTGACAAAGCTGCTTTGGAAGCCAAAGTGAAAGATCTTCTTACGCTGGCCAAAACCAAAGATGTGGAAATACTGCACTTGAGAAATGAACTCCGAGACATGCGTGCTCAGCTGGGCATTAATGAGGACCCTTCTGAGGGGGATGAGAAGTCTGAGGAGAAGGAAACCATTATCGCTCACCAGCCGACTGACGTCGAGTCCACTCTGTTGCAGTTACAACAACAGAATACTGCCATCCGTGAAGAACTCAACCAACTGAAAAATGAAAACAGAATGTTAAAGGACAGGTTGAATGCGTTGGGCTTTTCCCTAGAGCAGAGGTTGGACAATTCTGAGAAAATATTTGGCTATCAGTCCCTGAGCCCAGAAATCACCCCTGGTAACCAGAGTGATGGAGGAGGAACTCTGACTTCTTCTGTGGAGGGCTCTGCTCCTGGGTCTGTGGAGGATCTGTTGAGTCAGGATGAGAACACACTAATGGACCATCAGCACAGCAATTCAATGGACAACCTGGACAGTGAGTGCAGCGAGGTTTACCAGCCACTCACCTCAAGCGATGATGCCCTCGATGCCCCCTCCTCCTCTGAGTCGGAGGGCATTCCGAGCATAGAGCGCTCTCGGAAGGGGAGCAGTGGGAACGCAAGTGAAGTGTCAGTTGCTTGCTTGACTGAACGGATACACCAGATGGAAGAGAACCAACACAGCACGAGTGAGGAACTTCAGGCCACCCTGCAGGAGCTGGCAGACTTACAGCAGATCACCCAGGAACTGAACAGTGAGAACGAAAGGCTTGGCGAGGAGAAGGTCATCCTCATGGAATCGCTATGTCAGCAGAGCGACAAGTTGGAGCACTTTAGCCGGCAAATTGAATACTTCCGCTCCCTTCTGGATGAGCATCACATTTCGTATGTCATAGATGAAGATGTGAAAAGTGGGCGCTACATGGAACTAGAGCAGCGCTACATGGACCTAGCTGAGAATGCTCGCTTTGAACGAGAGCAGCTTCTTGGTGTCCAACAGCATCTGAGCAATACTTTGAAGATGGCAGAACAAGACAATAAGGAAGCTCAAGAAATGATAGGGGCACTCAAAGAACGAAACCACCACATGGAACGGATTATTGAGTCTGAGCAGAAGGGGAAGGTGGCCTTGGCCGCCACATTGGAAGAGTATAAGGCCACAGTGGCCAGTGACCAGATTGAAATGAACCGCTTGAAGGCCCAGCTGGAGAATGAAAAGCAGAAAGTGGCAGAGCTGTACTCCATCCATAATTCTGGGGACAAATCTGACATTCAAGACCTCCTGGAAAGTGTCAGACTGGACAAAGAGAAAGCAGAGGCCCTGGCCGGTAGCCTGCAGGAAGACCTGGCTCACACGCGGAACGAGGCCAATCGGTTGCAGGACACCATTGCTAAGGTATTGCTTAAATAGATGAAATGTCCTGGGTCAGCATCTCCTAGCTGCAGGACACGACACACTTGCCAAGAGCCAGGATCATGTCTCTTATGTGCCATCAGCTTTTCTTAAAGCTGGAGGATGGTTTTCTTTTATTGGAATAGAGTAGAAAGTACTCATTATTATTTATAATAACATCACTTTCATTCAGTGACATTTCATCAATGTTTCCTTGCTGGTGAGAGGATGAGGCTAGATTCCTACTTAATTTGTCTCTGGTGCTGAGTCTGCCCGTGCTGGGAGTGTATCATGCAGTTTTATATTTTCTTTGGTAATGCATTTTGGCGTAAGAAAGAATGAGAGCCAGGATTCCAGTCTGAAGGGTCAGAGATGTCTGCTTCCCCGCCGCCCCTTATCCTGCTATGGTGGTAATTTTTCAGATTGAGTTCTGTCATTAGTTAAAAGAGTATTTTGGAGTATATAGGCTCCTATTTGGTAGAGATCTGTGGTTGTTGCTGGCAGAGATTTTAGCAGTCCTTCGTCGAGCCCCTTGTTTTCACACAGCACACTAGTCAGGGCACAGCACCATGTGACCACTGAGGTCAGTGCATTTGCATGACTTATCTAATTCTTTATGTCATATTTTGCTTGTTATTTTGGTGCAGTGATTTTTAAAGTAAGCCATATTAGTATATCTTTGACTAAGATTTGAATAATTTAGACCCTAATTTTTTTAGTGATTGCTTTTGGAGATACAGTTGAGGAGATGTGCTTTATTTGTGGGGCGGTGTGTTTGTGTGTGTGGGGGGTGCACTGTGAACCAATAGTTGCACAAAGGCAACGTTAGAGAATTTTTTTTGGTTTCCATTTCTAATTTGATATTGAGACTGTCACAAATCAGACATAGTTTTTATAGGAGAGCATGTTAATCATTAATCAAATGCATGGTCTCAGCCCAAACTCTGGAGAAGGGAAAACTTCCAAAATTTCCTCATGAAGTAATCTAGTTAAGTTCAATAATATGCCAGTATAATTTCAGTCAGTGATGTTGTAGCAACAGTTGATGCTTAAGCATATTACGTGAACTTTTGTGTTATTGAAGAGTGCCTTTTCACTGTTTTTAACAATTATCACACAGGTTTGTTTTGACTTAGGCATAGCAATTCATACTGTTAGCCTCCATTTGAAACAGTGGGTATTTCAGTTCTAGAATTTATCTTAGGATAGCATACATTTTTCTAAATCTGCACTGTCAATTTTACATAGGTAGAAGATGAGTACCGAGTCTTCCAAGACGAAGCTAAGAAACAAATTGAAGATCTGAATATGACATTGGAAAAATTAAGATCAGAGCTGGAAGAAAAAGAGACTGAGAGGAGTGACATGAAGGAAACCATCTTTGAACTTGAAGACGAAGTAGAACAGCATCGAGCTGTGAAACTTCATGACAATCTCATTATTTCTGATCTAGAGAGTAAGTCGTGGGAGAATTTTTCATGCCTTTTTTGTCTTATCCTTTTTATATGTGGAGTAGTTTGACTAAAAAAGTCCTAATTCTCATTGGCAGAATAGTTTTCATGCAGTAGCACAGCTGACTGGCAGAAATATGCATGAGGTTGGTGCATATGCATTTTGGGCTGGGGACTGTATCCTATGCCTAAGGAAGAACTGTGCCTAATTAGGAAAATGATGAGACCCAGGTGCTGACCCTGCACACTCTCCACATCTGAAGCACAGACTTCTGTTTGTTTACCTGTCTGATTTTCCTCTCCACCACGCAGGTGGGATTGAAACTCCTTATTTAGGTTTCTTTGTTTTGTTTTGTTTTTCACTTTAAAAAAAAAAGTTTTATTTATTTATTTTTAAATATTTTATTCTATTTTTGGTGAAAATATACATAGCAGAACATTCTTCTGTTCAGCAATCTGCACATATAATATTCAGTGACATTGGCTACATTCTTCACATTGTATCAGCCTTCTCATTTTTTCTGTTCTAATTGTTTCACTCCCATTAACATTGTCTCACTCCCCCCCAGGCTTCTCATCCGTGCTTTAGAGTAACTGTTGTCCATTTGGTCTCATATAGTGCATTTTTTAAAAAAGCACAGTACTCAAGTATGGTGTGTGCATATGTGTGTTTAGCACATATGTATGTGTATTTGTGGGTATATATGTCCTTGACGGCAACTAAGAATGACAAATGTGTGTATGTGTGTGTTTATGTGTGGTTTCCTCAAATACAGCTTTTACTTTGAGGAAACATTTCAGAGATGAGGGAAAAGACCATAACACAAAGGCCTTGAGAGTTACTTCTTTTACATTACTCAGTAAAAAGAAGAGGAAAAGGCACTCCTTCTCGTAACAAGGGTATTTATCATAATACTGAATGATAAGTATGTAAGAAAACCTTGAACTAGTCATGGTATTGGAGGTGATAGGGAAAGAAAAGCCTTTATTCCTAAGCTTAACCCTGGATATACTTCTAGGTATATAGATTTTATAGTTATGAGCTTAGAAGTATTTTATATTTAGAATAAAAAAGAACTTTTTGATTAAAATACCCGCCAGAAAAATGAAAACAAACGGACAGGTGTGGGGTGCTGTATTCTTTAAAAATGCCAATCTCCACATTAAAAGGAAGCTAGAGTTCCATGACAATTAAATGTAATACCTGTGCCTGTACTGGGCCAGTACTCCAGGGAGAAACTGCTTTAATGGACATTACGACGAAACTGGAAGATGGGTGATAGATAAAAGAATCACATCAGATTACGTTTGTGAAGTTAACAACAGTACTGTCTTTATGTAAGAGAATATACTTATTCTTAGGAGCCACTGACTATTTAGGGGTAAAGAGCCATGATGCATACCCTCAAACGATTCAGAAGAAAAATTACGTATAGCTAGCTAGATAGAGACAGACAGAGAGATTAACTGTCAGCAATAGGCAAATCCTGAGTAAAGATATGTGGGTGTTTCTTCTACTGTTTTTACAACTTTTTGTAAGTTTGAAATTATTTCCAAATAAAATATTTAAAAATTCTCATATATCCTTCATCCAGAGTCCCTCAAATGTTAACACATTTTAAGTTTTAATACCCTTTTCTGTTCCCGGTGTGGAGATGGCTGAAGAAGATAGAGGTGATCTTTCTGATGCATTGGTTAAAGCTCTGTAAACTTTTGATGGATGACCTTGCCCCTTTGAGCTTGAACAGTTTGCTATTAGACCAGCATTGGCCGACAGGTACAAGCAGCTTTGAGCCAAACCCTATGTGCTGTGGATGCACAGGTGGGAAGTTTAAACTATTTCCCAGGGAGAATGAACAGGCCATTTGCAAGTACCCCTAAATGTGTCTTGTGAGTCTGAGTTCTGGTGAGTTTCCCAGGGTTATTCAGAACATTCTGAGGCCTTCGTATACTAAAGGAGTAGACTATGGGGCTCTATCTCTTGGGATAACTTGGGGAAGGTGGTAGTGAGTCACAGAGATGAACTTTCTTATCTAGAGTTAAAACAAAATAAAACAAATATTTCATTTAAATTTTATATCTAGTTTGTATTTCATTGTCTCTGAACTGAGAGGATTTATCTAATATCACTTTCTAAATGTAAGAGATTCTGAAGCTTTTCAGATTAATTTGGAAGTTCACTACATTTTCCATTTGGTATTGGTAGTAATTGGTAGGAGACCTGGGGTTCTCCTTCCAAAAAATCAGCCACTGAAAACCCTGTGGAGCCCAGTTCTATTCTGACACTCATGGTCGCCATGAGTCAGAATCCACTTGATTGCAACTGGGACTGGTAATAACAACAGCAAGAGTTTTATGTTTTGAATGTGCAAAGAGTGACACCTTGTGGTAATTGGGCTGATAGCTAAAAAAATTTTAGATAATCAGGATTCCTGGGACAAAATCTTACAAATCATTGCCAAAATAAAAATTGCATTGGCATCATGTGGATTTTAATTACAAAATAGCTTAAAATCCTGATTGAATTTTATTTATTTATTTTATTGTTGTGCTGTAAGCGAAAGTTTACAATTCAAGTTAGTCTCTCATACAAAAATTTATACCTACAGTATTATGTGACCCTAGTTGCTCTCCCTATACTGTGACAGCATACTCCTCCTTTCCATCCCGGATTTCCCATGTCCATTCAACTAACTCCTGACCCTCTCTGCCTTCTCATCTCCTCTCTGGAGAGGAGCTGCCCATTTAGTCTCATGTATCTACTTGAGCTAAGAAGCACACTCTCCACGAGTATCATTTTGTGTCCAATAGTCCAGTCTAATCTTTGTCTGAAGAGTTGGCTACAGGAATGGTTTTAGTTTTAGGCTAACAGAGAGTTTGGGGGCCATGTCTTCCAGGGTTCCTCCAGTCTCAGTCAGACCATTAAGTCTGATCTTTTTACTAGAATTTGAGTTCTGCACCCCACTTTTCTCCTGCTCCATCAGGGACTCTCTGTTGTGTTCCCTGTCAGGGTGGTCATTGGTGGTAGCCGGGCACCATCTAGTTCTTCTGGTCTCAAGCTGATAAAGTCTCTGGTTTATGTGCTGACTAAATTTTTTTAAACCATGTAGCTTCTCTCCCTAAATATTTTATCTTTTGTTTTTATTTTTATTGTGCTTTAGGTGAAGGTTTACAGAGCAAATTAGTTTCTCATTAAACAATTAATACACATATTGTTTTGTGACATTGGTTGCCAATCCTACAACGTGTCAACACTCTCCCTTTCTCGACTTGGGTTCCCCGTTTTCCATTTGTCCAGCTTTCCTGTCCCCTCCTACCTTCTCGTCCTTGCCCCGAGCTGGTGTGCCCACTTAGTCTTATATACATGGTGAGGGTATATGTTTTATGGGCCTGTCTAATCTTTGGCTGAAGGGTGAACTTCAGGAGTGACTTCAGTGCTGAGTTAAAAGGGTGTCCAGGGGCCATACTGCAGGATTTCTCCAGTCTCTGTCAGACCAGTAAGCCTGGTCTTTTTTTGTGAATTAGAATTTTGTTCTACATTTTTCTCCAGCCCTGACCAGGACACTCTGTTGTGATCCCTGTCAGAGCACTTGGTGATGGTAGCCAGGCACCAGCTAGTTGTGTTGGACTCAGTCTGGTGGAGGCCAGGGTAATTGTGGTCCATTAGTCCTTTGGGCTAATCTTATCCTTGTGTCTTTGGTTTTCTTCATTCTCCCTTGCTCCAGACGTCTCCCTAATTTTTTTTAATAAAAAGTTTAAATATACAGAAATATTGAAAGAGTAGAGTAGTTATCACCCTAGATTTGACAGTTGTTAGTGTTTTGCAATATTTGCCTTGTGTTTGTTTAACTGAATCAGTTGTGACGCTAAATTATAGACCTCATGACGCTTAATCCCTACATATTTTAGCATGCAACTTCTAAAAATAATTCTCGTTATAACCACAATACTAATATTATCATATCTAATAAAATTAATCATGATTTCCTAGATCATCTAATAGCTCATGTTCAGATTTTCCCAACTGTCCTCAAAATGTCTTTTATGTATTTTTATAAGAACCAAGACCCAAATAAGTTTTATGCATTACATTTAGTTGTTATATCTTTGTAGTGTAATAGGACTGTTTTTTTCCTAGAGAATTCTAGCATTTGGAGTAGATACTAAGTCAGTACTTGGTGTAGGGGACTTGGTGGCAGGGAATACTGTTATTGAGAAATTGACATTAAATATTTTCTTCTGTGGAATCTTTTAGTGGGAATTTTTTAATGTCTTGATATTTATCAAAGTTGAAATTAAAATATGAAGCTTATAAATATTAATTGAAAAAAGTTAGATTTAAAATTGGGAATTAGCCCGATTTTTTTTTTTTTCTAGTTATCTTTAAGAGCAAGCTCTTCTGCCACAGAGTTTTTAAAGAAAGTCTCTACTCAGGAAATGCAAATAAAAGGCCTGTAAGATTAAAGACAAATTATCTGTAGCCGAACCTACAAGCAAAGAAAATTCTAGTGTAGGAATAAAGTTTTGTTGTGAAAATGCCCTACAAAGAGTTGGGATATTAAGCCAGCTTGTCTTACTCTCCCTGAAGGCCCATTGCTCTCCTGGAGCCGGAATCCTGTCAGGTGATAAAGCTTTACAATTGTTCAAAGCAGTGTTTCTCAACTTTTTTTTCATTATTGCCCCCCTAAGGAGATTTTTTAGACATTTTTGTTTTTCCTTAATGGTAACTTCCCCCCTCCCGTCTTCCCACCAGGAAATTTTAATGCCTCGTGGGGATAATATCGCCTAGGTTGAGAATGCATGGTGTGAGATGTTCAGTACAATGTGTTACTCTTATTAACAGCATTTGAATAAATTGAAAACAGAAGGAGTGAAAATTTGAGAATCTACCTTATACAAGCATTAGGCTATGTGCTTTTCATATATGACATGTTCTTCCTAGAAGTAGGTGTTTTTCCTAGTTGACAAAGAGGTTTAGCAACTTGTTCAAGTTCACACATCTAGT